AAACTATTCTGCTTTATCGACGAAAAACTGCGAAAAGTAATTGTCACAGGCTGCTCTTGAAGCCAACTTTACTCCATTAAGCAAGTTCTGGATTGAGCGTAACAAATGGTAGATCGATGGTGCAAAGTCCCGACTATATGGTGGATGCACCAAAACTTCCCAGCCAAGCTCTCCCAGTTTTCGCCGAGTCATTAAAGATGTGTGTGGTCTAGCGTTGTTCTGTTGGAAGACAAAGCCCCCCTCTGTTGATCAGTTCTGACCGTTTTTACCGACTGCTTGCTTCAATCTTATCAGTTTGTGACAGTAAAATGTAGAATCAATTCTTCGAACAGGTTGGAGCAGCTCAAAGTGGATGATTCCTTTCCAATCAAATCAAACACTTAGCAAAATCTTTCAAGGCGTCAAGCCTGGCTTTGCAACCATTTGTCGAGCTTCACCACGCTTGGATCATGATCTGTTTTGCACATTTATGTCGCATTTGATCCACTTTTTGTCTCCTGTTACCATGCGCTTCAGAAATGGTTTGATTTCATTTCGTTTCAGCAAAGAATCGCCGATGTTAATTCAGCCAAATAAATTTTTCACAGACAATTCATRTGGTACCCAAAGATCGAAATTCGTTTTGTAGCCAGCCTTTTTTAAATGATGCAAAACCGGTTGATGTTGATTGTTAAGTTCTTTAGCGACATCATGGCTGCTTATGTGTCGGTCATGGTCAGCCTTTTCCATAACTTCAACGTCTATTCCAACGAATCTTTACTCTTCAGACCATAAAACCTCCATCAAACCACACTTATAGCTTTGTTAGATCGAAAACCCTGTTAAACAGCGTAAAAACTATAACTGCAATTGCAAATTACTGTTAGTGTGGCTTATCCTAGTATTAATGCCCGATGTTGTCTGTGCACTTGCATAGCTTAAACTTGCACACAAGCGATCTTCACATTTGCAACGTCCACTGTTGTTTTATCTAGCGCTACTCGCTTGCCGATTGTTGTACCGGCACACTGCTGCAGCAATTTGAGACAGTCTGTCTGCATTACAGTGACGCTATACTATATATATTTGGTATATATTTATATATGTGCTGTCTGGTTTCATCTGCCAGTTTCGGCAAATTGTTTGTCGCATCCTTATTTGGCTTTGGCTCGTGTCGTAGACAATTTAGTTTGAATATTTTAAATTGTTTTCTTGTTCGAATTTCATGCATACATATTGACAACACATTTTACATGCGCCTGCAGGTGTATGTTTGGTGCAAATATTTCTCATGTAGAATTTCGAATTGTAGTCTTAAGCTTACTCGCATAGTTACAATCGTTAAAGAGATTTGCTGCATTCAAGTTGAATGCTTGACAGCTGCAAATTGCCGTAACAATTTTGTACATCTCTGCATACATACATATGTGCGTGTGTGTTTGTCGACTTCAAGCTTTTTGCAACAACATGTACAATACTTGTCAAGAAATTGAAATAGTTCAAAATCGCAGTAAATGAATTGGACGGTGATGCATTTGTAGCATATTTCTTGAGTACCTCAACTAATTGAGGTTAGATTAGGTTAGGTTAAGAAGACACTACTAAATTAGAGGCACGCTTCAAACCCTTATATGTGGGAGAGAGAGAGAGAGAGAGAGGTTTTTGTAATAAAATTCTATTTAAAATAACTTTGTAGGAATCCTAACCTCAAACGCTTATAAGTTGATTCCAGAAGAGCTTTTATAAGAAAATGTTTTTATTATACCCTTAAGACTACTACTATCTCATTTCAAATGGCTCTGAATTAATCTTATTCAATAACACAGTACAACAGCTAATCTGGGGGGTGAGAAATTCCAAGTCCGGGTGAAGGTACTAGGTCAGTATGGTAAAACCCTCAAAGGGTTTGGCGTTCGTATGTGTCAGTTTTTTTTTATGACCTTATGACCCTCTTTTTTCTTTATCTTGATGTTTTTTCACTCATTTGTAACAATTTGGCAAAAACCTCAAAAAAAAAAATCAAGGAAGACTTGAGGCCAGAAATTTGGTAGAGAAATATRCCGAAAACGTTTCATAAAGCTGATAATCTGTAGCAGCTATGAAAGCATAGKACCTTCGGAAAGATAATTTCATCTTAAACTGTAACATAGTACTSATTTTCACACAAAATATTGAGACCACGCCAAATTCATCGCAGCACCCGTGYTCCCAGAGGTTAACTCAGCTTATTTAATAACACAAGCTGATAGCAGAACAGACTCTAAGATAAACGATCTCTGCACACAGTCTTTAATGAACCTATAATGTTTGCCACAATGTCGCAGCTTACATTCGTTTTGATCCTGATTTCCATTTAACAGCTGCCATCTTACGTACACCTGACCAGCACTTGACATCGGGCTTTTGACATTTATTTGACATCGTGGTTTGACTTACATTTRACAAGCTTTCGATAGCTGCCATCGATTACCACATTCATTTTCCAGTYTCCAACTGACGTTAATTCGACAAAAGTTTGAAACATGTCTTCAGACACCCATTTGACATAATATGTTTGACATGCGTTTGACGGTTGCTGTCTGAGATTCATTTGTTATCCGTTTAATAGCTGACAACTAATCTAACAACCAGGCTGAAGGCTGATAACTGACATCAATTTATTATCTCCTTTGTGATATAATTTTGACTGCTGGCATTTGATATCAATTTGACAGTTGCCAACTAATGGCAATCTGAAAATTTGGCATCTGATTTTTGACATCCATTTGATGCCTTCTGATTTCACTTTGACAGCTGCTATCGGATATCTATCTGCCAGCTACCCTCTGACATCAGTTAGACACCTACATTTTGACAACCATTCGATGGCTGTCATCTTATTTCATATGACATCCAATTGACAACCGCCATCTGATGTCAATTGGACATCCGCTTTACGTCTGTCTTCGAAAATCAATTTGACATCTAGGTTTTGATAACTGTTTGACAGATACTATGTGAAACMCATTTGACAGCTGCCATCTGAGTCAATCTAATAATTGTTTGACGGCTAGTATCTGACATCCAATTGAAAATTGTTTTCTGACATCAGTTTGACAGCTAGATTTTGATAGTTKTTTGACATCTGCTCTCCGATAATAATTCGGTAAAGATTTGACATAGTACTTCCTATGCTTTAGATTAAAGCGATAGGTTGTTAGATAAAAACTATGAAAGGTTTCCAGTCTATTGAGATAAAATGCTTAAAAGATTTTTKTGTGGAGTCTTCTTGGAGCTTCCTAATCTTAGAGAAGACAAAAATTAGATTAGGACATGAGACAGTCTATCTAAAGAAAACTTAACCTCATTTTTGACACCAAGCTTATGTTAAAGTCCACACAAACACTCAATCAATTAAAGAAATGAAAATCATATGAATTCCTGCCAACACCATACACCGACGAAAAGCTTAAGTRTTTTTCGTTAAGCAATCGCTTAATTTCCTCATTTAAGCGAAGTATTATTATATCTGTATTTATCTGTATGCATTCCCATATAACTGTAAAAATATAACGCTCGCACTATAAGAAGCTTAATATTCTTAATAAATACTTCCGTTATTGGTGAAGACGTAAGTGACGAAAGTTACGTGTTGCTCTGTGCGTGTGTGTGTCGGAAAATTAAAATTGCCCATCCAGTGAAAAATCATTTTAAAAAGTCAATCCATCATTCAATGACAGACTTGAAATTAAAATAATGCCAGTTGCGAAGGAATTAAGGGCGGAAAGAATGCTTCGAAAGGCATAAAGTAAAAGCGAGGCGATAAAAGCAAGCATTTTTCCATGGACTTTTTTTTTTTATTTAAGGCGAAATTAAACTTGAGTCAATGTTTTCATTTAATTATGCAAATGTTGGGCCGCAAGTGGGCTGCATGTGGGCACTCCAGCGTCGCCAAAGAGTTGGAGTTATGGAATTATCGTGGTCGTAGCCACTGTTAAGCACACAAGTGAATGCATTTACATGAATGAAATTTATTCACACGCCAGCACAAGCTACGAGCGGTGGCGGATAAGTTAGTAATTTTTGGTTTTGGATGGGGTTTGGGTATGATTTCTTCAGTCAAAAAGATTGTCGCAGCTAATCCAAAGAATAGCTGGAGGAATTTCTGYATTTAGAATTTAAAGTTTGGTGCKTGTCTTTGCTAAAATGCGCCTGACTGTAGGCAACGTTTCACTTTATGGGTTTGTTACCAGGAAATTTTGCGGAAAAGTCTATAGGTCCTTTCGAATGGATAATATTGCCGTCCTGTTCGAGTGAATCCAATGCTTATCAAATTATAACGGAAGAAGCTGATCTCGTGCCTGAAAAAAATAATATCCAAATACTCTTGTCTTAAATTGCTGTAGGTATTGGGATTTCCTGTGTTTTAAATAGRCCCAAACTTGTTATAATTTTCGTAGACTATTCAGCTTTGTGAACTGAAAGGGTTTTCCATATTTTTCTTGGTCTCAATTTCTACAACAGAATAAAGAGTTGAGAAGTCACGCWCAACTTTCTATAAGCTTGAAACTTCAAAGATAACTTGGAAATGAAAAATAAAGATAGGAGTGAGTGAATAAAGTACAGTAAATAATAATTCTACACGGTTCGGTGATTTTGATGTCCCACAAGCAAAGTTTTGTACTAAGAAAAACAATTTGGTCAGAKCTCACACCTATTGGGAACAGTTATAGACTTTATCAATAATAATTACAGTCACAGTTGTGATACTCTTCATGACAGGAATCCAGAGATCCGTTAAGCTTTCCATTCCATGTAAAATCAATTTAAGTTCGGGACCCAAATTTGTTGTCGCTTATAAGAACTTACACTCGAAGTGTTGCCTAATTTTAAGCTGACACTTTACTTTTTATTCTATAACAATAACTATCCAACACCTCYCGTTCTAGTACAAACACACACATAGATTTCAACTGCCGCATGTCACTTAAAATGCCTGTTGTTTTAACGCTTTACKGCGTCACTATGCTCTTCTTTCACAGTTGCGCCCATCTGCCGGCCCGGTCAACGTTTCGTCTACAGTTCCGGACGACAAGAGACGGTTAGAATTGTCTGCGAAATCGAGGCGAATCCAATGGAGGCGACATACAGCTGGAAATTCAATGCAACACGCGGCGAGGTAATCGACATACCRGCATCACAAATCGCTGTGGACCGTGGACGCAGCATAGCACACTACACGCCCATAACGGAAAATGTAAGTACGCGAAGAAAGCGCGGCAAGTAGTCGGCCTTGTTGTCATTGCACATTGGACGCAGTGGCGGCTGTCAATGTGCTGAAGAGTTGTAAAGTTGAAAGTAACCTGCTGACTGCAACGGTTCGACTGACTCGATGGTTGGCTGGCTGGCTGCGTGAATGGCTGAGTGGAAGACTGACTTGGTTGTGACTGACTGGCCGGCTGACTAGTTTTATAAGCGTGCGTTTGATTCACTTACCGTGTGTATGACTGACTGGTAAACTGATTGAATGGCTGACTAGTTTGCTGAGTCTATGACTGAAGTGACCGTCTGCTGAGTGTACCGTGAGTTCAACTCTAGGCAGTATTTGAGTTGATCGAATGTCAGCGGTATGAATTATGATGTGTTGCCTGTGTCATGCCATTACTGGCGTTGCAAAATGCTTTGTAGGAGTCATGTGASTTCTGCATTTTTTAAAACAMTCACACAKGTATGCKTATTAGGGTGTKCGGGATTTTCTAAARTTGAAGTTTCAGTTTTTGTCTTAAMACAAAGTGCTTTATACGGTCAGCGTTGCTCATACGACATGGTGTACCCATGCTCAGAGCACTCAATACATAACTTTAACTGTGTATAACTTTTAAAACAGTGATTTTGTGGAAATAAATTATAAAAACTTTTTACAGAGCAATAAATCTCGTATTAGAATATTATTTCTTCAAGATTGTAGGTTTACTTTTTTAATGTAAAATATCAAAAAAACGAGCTTGTTTACGTTGAATAATTATTTTATAAAGCAGAAACTGAAATTTCCCGCTGCGTTTGCATAATAATTTTATTAGTGTGTAACGGACACCCTAATGCATTCCTCCATATATGTGTAACTGCACGACAGCTAACTTTCCCGTCACTCGCATGCATTCACGCACACGCTTGTGTTGGCTCGTCGATAAWTCATCAATTTTCCAATAGATTCGCATAATTTTCCAACTGAATTGCGRTTTTGAATTCACAATGAACCTGCAACGGCAGCAACGACAACCGACAATAACAATGCGGCATACAAAAGGGGTCAACGTCAGCCAGCTAGCAGCCGTCAATTTGCTTAGCCTAAGGTCGTTAAGCATAGCAATATACCGTTATTTGTGCACGGCTCTGACATGCAAATGTGCTGTCATACACATACACACAAAAATGTGTATACCGACACATACAGTGTGGCAYGCATCAGGCAGGCGCACTAATAAATTTTGCACTATTTTTTCGCAATTTGCCTATATTTGACTTTTTATGCTAACTAACTTGTGTTTTCTTTTCATGTTTTTTTCTTTCTCTTTTGCTGCTTTTCGTCGCGTCTCTTCTTTGCAGGACTATGGCATACTGCTCTGCTGGGCGAGCAATGAAATTGGCGATATGAGTGAACCGTGTGTTTTCACCGTGACACCAGCAGGTGAGTGTGAGTAAACAATAACAACAACAACACGTTACGGCAAGTGTGAAAATACTTAACACGCGTGCGAAGCCGAGGGCAGAAAAAAAACAGTGAATTGAAATGTGCGAAAAGCACTAGGGCAACTGTAGCAGTAGTTGTTGTTGATATAATGGCAGTACGACGAAAAAATTCCTTACTCCCCGCGCTAATAAATACGCGCTCGATTCRTCTGTGTTGGCGCCACAGTGTCACCAGCGCCACTTGCAACATGTCAATTGCGCTCSCGGCAGACAGACTTTTTATTCGGGATCTTTGCATTATAAAGGTTGTGCTATGATAGGCTTTTTATGAATGGCGGAGGCGGAGCATTTACGCCTCTTTACCGGCTGTTGGTGTTTGCCTTAGTAGAGAGCAAATGCTTAAAATTTTTTAAATGAATGACAATAGTAAAATGAAAAGAAAATTGTATTAGGTGGCAACCCTGCACGGAAAAATTTTATTATTTTTTATGTTTTGAAAGAAACTTTGGAAACCCTAAATGTATGCATATATGTACAAAATAGTAAAATAAAAAAAAATAAACAATTTTAGATGGCAACTCTACTCAAAATATTTTTTTATAATTTTTAATGTTTTGAAGGAAACGTTGGAAACCCTAATCATATACATTTGTGCATATATGAACAAAACAGTAAAAAGCAAAAAAAAAATTAGGTGGCAACCCTACTCAAAACAATTTTATGATTTTTTATGCCTAGAAGGAAACTTTTAAAACCTCAAAAATATATACGTACATAAACATATGTATGTACAAATGAAAAAAAAATGTGTTAGATGGCAACTCTACTTATAACAATTTTATGATTTTTTATGTTTTGAAGAAACGTTAGAAAGCCTAAATATATACATATGTGCCTATATGTTCAAAATAGTGAAATGAAAAAAAAAATTGGTGGCAACTCTACTCACAACAATTTTATGATTTTATATATCCAGAAGAAAACATAGGATTATGTATAAAATATGTACATATATATGTACATTTGCTATATATTGAAAATATAGTACTACTATAGTATATAGTTATAAGAGCTAATCGAAAAATCTGAGACGAGTCATTGTTTAAATAAATTCCTTTATTCTCTAGCAACCTTTTCAGAGCTTTAGTTAGCAAGGACCTAAACCCAAATTTCTTGGTACTATAGAACTTCGTTTTTGTATTCAATTAGCAGTTACTAGGAAGAGAGACACACAAGTTTCTTTTTCCGGCTACTGTCGACCTCTACGCACCACCTGAGTCTAGCAAATCACCAGCATAGCCTCCGTAGAGTGTACAGCACCACCACAGCACTTAGTATCATAAACGCCTAGAATGCTCATGGTCTCAACCAAAAACCACCCTTTAGTAGAACGATTCTCGTATCGTTGGACTTGTCAAAAGCTTTTGATACAGACAGTCACACAACGCTACTTGAGGACATCCAAAAATTCACTATTCCTTTAGGGTTGAAAAGGTGGACTATAAACTATCTCAGCGGTCGACAATCGTCCGTACTATTTCGAGATAAAAACTCTAAATTGAGAAGAATTAAACAGTGGGTTCCGCAGGGTGGTGTTCTCTCCCCCTGGTTGTTTAACATCTATGTATACTCGCATCTCCAAACTCACTCAACCAACAGAGAAAATTTCTATCATCTCGTACGCAGATGATTCCACGATAATGACGTCGAGCAATGGAATCGATGACATGTGTTCAAAAAAACACAACACAACACAYGTCACAACCTATTACGGGATGCCTCTGTTTCGATGGGGTCGGGCCAAAGCGAAAAGGATGTTAGATGAGTGGGGTTGGCGGGACATGCAAAGAAGTCTCCAGTGTCATGCGGAGACTCATTKCACGCAGGACATATGTTGGATATGTCGAAGTCTATTCTAGACAAGTAGTAGTTTCATMCGGCCAAGGGCTGTTTTTCGRCGATCTAACCCCGTTTGGATCAATGARTATCAAACGAAGTGTACGGTCATATCCAGCGGTCCCGCGATCCAATTTAATTTCAGCACATCCTGATGAATTCGATATAAATGCAAAAATATATTGTCTAAGAATTTATTGTTAGAGACCCTACTAAGCCTATCGAAATGTACTGGTTTCATGGTTAACACTTTTCAAAAAAGTTCGTGCAGTTATAAGCTTATTTAGCTATTACACAAAATAAATGATTTCTACTCTTTCTTTTACTCAAACAGCCATTCGAAATATCACAGCGGCTTTGAGGCAAATAACTAAAGACCACATCTTTTTGGCCCTCAAATGCTTTTTTCCAACACAGTTTTTTAGATTAGCGTCAAATGACAAAGTTTTGTTCGCCAGCGATTTCTATTCAAATTAAAAGCGTAACCAAAGCATATAGCAAACTCGATTCTTTCTGCCTCAGCAACATGTATTTCATGCCGACAACGAAATTTCAAAAAAAAAAAAAAAAGAATGCAGGAAAATGTCACTAACACTTTTTTCCATTTTTTTTTCACTACACAGGCGAACCGGATCCATTGGTTAACTGCACGCTACTCAATCAAACGTCGACCGGCTTTCAAATTGAATGCATCGAAGGCTTCAACGGCGGTCTGGAGCAGGATTTCATAATGGAAGTGTATGTGAACGGAACGACACGCTATCCGAAAGTTTTTCGATCAAAGTGAGTAGACCAGTCGGCCACGCACGTCACGCAACACGCTGGCCTGCACCCAAAACTAAACCAAAACTCAACAAAGCCGCCTGCTGCAACCAACAGCGCTGGCATCTCTCCCCTTTCCCACCCTGCCTCGCTCGAACACTCAGCAATTCCGGCTATTCATGCCTAAAATTGTGCTGAATGACCACTGGCAGCTACGCAATATACGTCCATTTGTTGGCCTGACGCACAGCTGCCACACTTTTGGCTGACATACGAGCACACATAGAGTGGCAACTGCAAACKGCGTCCTGTGACGCTGAATTTCACTTCAATTGCGGCATTTGTATGCTCGACTTTTTTTCGATTAATTCTGCAAATCTTCTATACACCACACTTTTGTCACTACTCATTCGCATTACCTTCCTCTCTGTCCCTCCAGGTTTTTCTCATTTTACGCTAGGTTCTGCTCGGTTGATTGTGAATKGTTGACTTACTTTTTTTCTTTTTTCCATTTTTGTGCGTTGCTGCCATGCTTGTTACTGGTGTCTACTTTTATTGCCTGCTGTCACAATTCAAMTGCCTAAAATGCAACAATAACAATAACAATAGAACACCGTACTTCGAAATGCGCGGGCTGGTGCCTGGTGCCGGCTACAATGTCTTCTTGGTGGCGCACAACGARAAGGGACGCAGCAATGCAACCATCCTGCAAGTATATACGCTCAAGGATCCGGAAAAGCAGACGGGTGAGTGACTTCAAATGTACATAGATGGTGCATACGCGTGCAATTAAAATTTTGTGGTGTTATATGTATTATAAGCACATACTTACTATGTAGTTGCTCAATGCATTGTTTTCTTAGAAGTTTGTGGAAATATATGATTTTAAGAACAAAATTTTGTAAATTAAAATAAATATAAATTTTAATTTGCTTGTAGTTGTGTACATA